AAGATAACAGAATGAGCACAAATAAACAACCTAGTGCTTCATCTCAAACTTCTAGAAAAAGAAGATCAAGTTAGAGCCAAAGCTCATAGAAGAGAGGAAATTGTAACGATTAGAAGAGACATCAATGAATTGAAATTTAAAAAACAATGCAAATAATTAATGAATCAAAAAGATGTTTTTTGAGAAAATAAAAAAATTGACAAACTTCTAGCTAACCTTATCAACAAAAAGAAAGAAAAACCCAAATTTATATAATAAGGACCAAAAAGAGAAATTATTACAGATCTCATGAAAACTGAAAAGATCATGAATACCTACTTTGAAAATCTCTACTCACATAGAGTAGAAACCATAGAAGAAATGGATAGATTTCTAGAAACATATTAACTACCAATGCTCAACCAAGAATATATAGGAATTTTGAATAATCTAATATCAGCTATTGAAATTGAAAACGTGATTCAAAACTTATCAACAAAGAAAATCCAGGTCATGATGGAGTCACGGCTGAATTCTGCAAGAAATTTAGAGAAGATTTTATGCCAATACTCCTTAAACTCGTCAATGAAATTAAAAAGGAAGGAAGCAATCCTCCCTAAATCATTCTGGGAGGCAAGTATTATTCTCATATCAAAACCATAGAAAGACCAACCAAAAAGGAGAACGTTAGACCAATCCCACTAATGAACACTGATTCAAAGATTCTCAATAAGATACTGTCAAATAGAATGCAGAAAATCATCAAGAAGAATATACATCACGACCTAGTGGAATTCATTCAAGGAGTGCAGAGATGGTTTAATGTATGCAAATCAGTAAATATAATACATTTACATCATCAGAGCCCAAAACAAAATCCACATGGTCATCTCAATAGATGCAGAAGTAGTTTTCAATACAGTCCAACACAAGTTCATGATAAAAACCCTTCAGAAACTCATACTACACGGTGTCTATCTCAACCTTAGAAAGACCATTTATGACAAACCAACACCCAACATTATATTAAATGGACAAAAACTAAAAGTTTTCACTTTAAATTCAGGAACAAGACAAGGATGCCCACTATCACCACTCCTATTTAATATAGTTCTGGAAATATTATCCAGAGCAATCAGACAAGAGAGAAATAAAAGGAATAAAGATAGGAAAAGAAATAGTTAAATTATCACTATTTGCAGATGACGTGATACTCTATATAGAAGGTTCAAAAAACTCCATTAAAAGACTAGTAGAGGTGATAAACAAATTCAGCACTGTAGCTGGATACAAAGTCAATGCTAAAAAATCAGTAGCATTCCTGTAGACAAACAAAAACTCATTGAGAGAGAAATTATGGAAATATTGACCTTCAGAATAGCATCTAAAAATGAAATATTTAGGAATCAACCTAACCATCAATGTAAAAAATCTATAATGCTGAAAACTGTGCTATGTTTTTAAAAAGGAGATTGAAGAGGATATTAGAAAATGGAAGGATAGTCCTTGCTTTTGGCTAGGAAGAACCAACATTGTGAAAATGGCCATATTCTCAAAACTTTTATACAGATTTAATACAATCCCAATCAAAATACCATTAACATACTTCACAGATGTAGAGAAAGCACTTCTAAAATTCAATTGGAAACAGAAGAAAACTACAATACCAAAGGTGAGTCTGGGCAACAAAGGCAAAGCAAGAGGCATTTCAATTCCTGACTTGAAACTATAGTACAAAGCCACAGTGACAAAATCAGCATGGTACTGGCAAAGAAATAGACCTGAGGATCACAGGAATAGATTAGAAGATGCAAGCACAACTACAAAGACACTCAGCCACTTGATATTTGACAAAGGGGCTAAAAATGTTCACTGGAAGGATACCCTCTTTAATAAATGATGTTGGAAAAATTGGCTTTCCACATGCTGAAGACTGAAACTAGATCCATGCCTATCGCCATGCACAAAACTAAAGTCTAAATGGATCAAAGATCTAAATATTAAAACATAAACACTGCATTTACTGGAAAACAAGTTAGGTACAAGTCTAAGGGACATAGGAGTAGGCAGATAATTCATGAACAAAATGCAAACTGCATGGGAAACATATCAACAACTGCGATAACACATTATTGAAAAATTTCTGCACTTCAAAAGAAATCACCAAGAGAATGAAAAGAAAACGCACAAAATGGGAAAGAATTTTAGCCAGCAATCCCTCAGACAAAGGACTTATATCCAGAACATGTAAAAAATTGAAAAACATCAAGCTCCCCAAATTCAAAGACCTTATCCAAAAATGGGCATCTGAGATGAACACACAGTTCTCAGATGAAGACATAAAAATGGCAAAAAATACATGAAGAAATGTTTACCACCACTGAACATTCAAGAAATGCAAATTAAAATAGCTTTGAGATTTCATCTCACTCCAGAAAGAATAACTGCTATCAAGAAATCAACTGGTAACAAATGTTGGCAAGGCTGGGAAAAGGAACACTGCTCCACTGTTGCTGGGAGTGTAGACTTGGGCAGCCACAGAAATCAGTATGGATATTTCTCAGAAGCCTAGGATTGGAAGTTCCATTCAAGCTATTCCCCTCCTGAGTATCCCCCCCCAAAAAAAATAAACTGAAAAACGCATATCACAATGATATATGTGCACCCATGTTCATAGCAGCACAATCTGTAATAGCTAAATCTTGGAAACAAGCAAAATGCCCATCAACCACAGAATGGTATTTTTATGCAATGGAATATTACTCACCTATACAAAGGATGATCTTGAAGCCTTCATAGGTATATGGAGATAACTTGAGACTATCCTCATAAGTGAAATAAATAAGAATCATATTTATAAATATCACATTGTATCTCTAGTGTAAAAAGTAATAAGAACTGTAGAAGTAATAGAACCCAAAATGTGTAATTGCTATTGTAAAAAAGAAAGGAAAAGAAAGTACTCTAAAGGATATAACTGTATGTCTGTTTAAGTATGTAGGACTGATAACCATATTACTAAGTTGGATCATTGAACGGAACTGTTTGCAGTCTCAGTGTTTGAATGTCCACTTTGTATGCTTTAATTTTGTAACTTGAACAACTGTTTCTAAGAGGACAATATGTGATTTATCAACTAGCGATTTCTTACTGTTTTTTTTTTGAAATTCTGTATTATTTGTTTTGCTTTTTTCTCTTTAAATAAATAAAATATTGAATTTTTTAAAAAATAAGAAAAGTCTGTAGACATTTTACATGTGTTGGAAGCACAGCACATGTGGTTGGGTCCTTCTGTTGCTACATGTCCAGGGGTGATTTATTCCTTAATTAAACTCACTGGGACCTTGGTCCTAACCCTGAGGCTAGACTGTGCACCTCCAGAGATGCCAGAGAATAATAACAATCTAAAAACATGATTTCCAGAGACACAGCCTCTGGGAGAAACAGCATGATAAATAACTTGAGGTCAAATCACTAAAAAGCAACAATTCAGGATGGGCAGAAATAAAACATGGAAAAACTCTCTATTTAGAAATCCTGAACTGTGGGGTTTAAGGAAGGGAAGTAAAAGAGATAGATATGATCAAAATATCTGAGTGTCATATGCATATTTGTAGATAATGTGTTGAATTCCATTATTTTGTACAAATAATATGTATTAATAAAAACAATATTTTTCAAAATTCATGCCCTACTATGTAGGCAAATTTGGTAACTATAGAGTTTAACAATTTTGAGTTGACATCTGAACTCACAAGAAGACATGAGAAAAACCAATTTCTGAAGACACTTAAACTTGATTCAAATACAGATAAAAACTCGTTCACCTGTATGAGAGAGTCTGTGTATCACAGTTTCAAACAGCCCAGTCATTTGGACGTGTATGGGGAGAGGAATTGAAAAAAGAGGAAACAGATGTGGGATTGCCCTACATATTTGAAAGTATTCATGAAACGTTCACCAAAACACACAACACATAAACCGTAACACACATTGCTGCATAACTCAAAGAATTTAAATCGTATGGCTTCTAACTATGATAATAATGAACTCAACAAGAAATTACTAAGTATTCAATACAATATTCCTCAAGATTGTAAAATTAAGCAATCTGAAGCTTTTAAAATTAAGCAATAGGAATTTGAAATATGATCATATATCTACCACAACTGTATTATATCTTATGTGTAAAACAACTGTAAAGAAATATTATGTTCCATGGAATATAAGTCATTTTAGTATCACTATTAGTACTGTTTTCTGCTTTTAAATTTACAACTTCTTTCTGATTATATTAAAAATAAAGTAGGATTCCTCTTCAAACATAATATGCTGAGCAATATTGCAAAATCATGTATTTAAACTCCTACAAAAGTAATGACAGACATTTCAGATATATGTGTGATTTACCATTCTTTGCTGAAATTCTGAAAAAAGAATAAACTGTATATTTATATGTAATTTTATCCTTGGAAAATATAATTGTAAACATTAGCCATTCCTTTTCATAATTTTTAACCTCTCTAATAGAACACATCTGTGATACACAATGCTTACATTCCTTGAGTGGCGCTTGTGCATATACAGATCATGTCTTTATGCTTATTTTAATATCCTCCCACTTTTCTCCAAGTCTTGATTTCATTTTTTTTTTCTTTGTACCAGTAATCAAACTCACAACCTTGCACTTGCCAGACCGGTACTTATACCGCTGAACTAAATCCTGGCCCTTGATCTCCCTTCTATTTGAGAATCATCTTTCTCCCTAACTCCTATCATTTATTTTCCACTCTGATTTTTACTTATATTTTGGATTTCCCATATAATTGTGAAAAAGATTGACTTTTTGTTTTGTAACAACCATTTTAAAATTCTCATTAAATAAAATAAGTTTATTGCATTAATTATGTCACATAAATTGATAGTCTCAACTGAAACATATCAACAAAAAAAAAAATATATATATATATATATATATATATTTCTAACAAATTTTAATAGACTTAAAAATATGTTGATTAGTGGTCTGAATTAAGGCCAGAAGTTTTTTGTAGCTGCTGGTTTCAAACAGGAGCCTAAAGAGAAGTCTGTCTAGTGTCTGTTGGTCAATTCAGAACTTTGGAAATATAATGATCAATTCATTAGAAATATGTTAGAGCCCAACGCTACCAAAGTAGAAGCCACACTTTAAGGCTCCACCACAACTCAGGGAACATCAGTGAACTAAGGCCCCATGTCTCTCCACCACTCTGGGAACTCTGGATTGGAGGCCTCCACTAAGAGATGGGCAGCCAATGCAGGAAGCACCGAGGAAGCAGCAATGGACTGATGCAGATAAACAAGAAATGTCAGGATGAAGGAGCAAAATACAATCTCAGACCTCCAGCCCACCAAGAACAAGTTCAGGAGACACAGGCATAGTAGAAATTTCAATTTAGTTCTGGTATTGTTTGGTTAATTTTATATGCCTATGCCTGATGGTCTGGGCAGGTACCTTTAAAGATAACAAGATGTATCGTGGTAGCTATTGTTGATTTCCTGTTATCTTGTTTTGAAATCCTGTATCATTTTCATTATTTAGCTTTGTTTTGCTTTATTCTGTTTTGTTTGGTTTGGTTTGGTTTGGTTTGGTTTTAATATCTTTAAAATAAAATTAAAAAATAAAAATTTTATGTAGATTAAGAATTTTCATAGTACATGTTTTATATTGTTCGCTTATTAAACCTGAAGGAAAGTACAGCATATTGAAATAATCACACAAGATTTTCCTGGAAGAACCAACTCTTCATTAATCATAAGTGCCAAAAACTCAATTTAGTTTCCTAGTCCAGAGCTTTTTCATGGCACTTTTCATCTCTGCATGTCTCAGAGTATAGACGAGGGGGTTCAGCATAGGTGTGATATGGTATAAAACACAGTCAAGAATTTATCAATGGGCAAGGTAGAGGGAGGTCTCACATAAACAAAAATGCAATGCACAAAGAAGAGGATGACCAATGTGATGCAGGAGCCACAGGTGGAAAAGGCCTTGTGCCTCCCTTCTTGACTCAGGTTCTTCAGGGAGTGCAGAATGGTCACATAGGAGATGAGCAAGATTGTAAAAATGGACACAGAGATCACACCATCCTTGGCCAGCACAGTGAGGCTAACAAAATGGGTGTCCATGCATGCGAGTTTTATTAAGGGTATATGTCACAGGTGAAGTGGTCAATGACATTGGGGCCACAGAAAGGAAGGTTGTAAACAAAAATAACATGTGGTGTAGCATGCAGAAAACCCCCAATCCAGGTCACCAGTAGCAGTAGAGCACCCTGCTGTTTGTTCATGAAGGTCAGATAATACAGGGGTTTGCAGATGGCCACGTAGCAGTCATAGGCCATGACCACCAGGAGTATTATGTCAACACAACCAAATAAGTGAGCTGCAAAAAGTTGTATCATGCAAGCTTTGAAGGAAATGGTTGTCTTCTCATAGAGTAAATCTTTAACCATATTGGGTAACTGTAGTGGAATAAACAGTATCCATTAATGATAAGTAGCCAAGAAAGATGAACATTGGTGCATACAAAGCTGTGCTGAACATCACAGTCACCACAATGACTAAGTTGCCTGCCATTGTCACTACATATGTCAGCAAGAACACAGCAAATAATATTTTCTCACTCCGGGGGCTCTGACTAAACCCCAAGAGCACAAACTCAGTCACATTGTTCCTGTGCTCCATATGTCTTTCTGTGTGTCATTGCTTAGAACAACATTACCTGCAAACAGAAATATTAGCATGATTTCAGAAATTTTATGATAATTTTTTTATTCATTTCATGTATAGTCACTGTCATGTATTAAGTTCCAGTAGTGTCAGAGATTATAAGAATGCAAGTTTGTTGGTAAAAAGTGACATTCTGCAAAGCAATATCATTGGTAATAAGGAACTAGAGAATTGATAACAAGGATTGGTTATGAAAGGTTTGACTATTGTCTTCTTTGGAAGTCCTGTAATGTTTACAATGCCTAAGTTTTATTGGTCTTGTTCTCTACTGTTTTGTCCAACTTTATAATATCTAATGAGATAGACAATTCTTTTTAAGGAAACAAGGGACAACGTTGATAACCATTGTTGATAAACTTGTACTCTGTTCTACACCATGTGCTATGTCTATCCTTGGTATTGACTGACAGCTTTGTTTTGCCATATTTGACTGTATTCTTCCCCCCCCCCAAAAAAAAGTAATAAGCACTAAGGAGTAATGAAATCTAAAGTGTGTGAATTTTGTTGTAAAAAAGAGAGGAAAACAAAAAAGAAAAAGAAAAAGAGCTCTAACGGATATAACAGCAAGTGTGTTTAGGGGTGTTAAATAGCTGACTGTATCAATGTTTTTGGATCATTGAACACAGCTGTTTGCAGTCTACCTGTTTGAATGTCCACCTTGTATTCTTTGATACTGTGATTTGAGGAACTATTTTCAAGATGATAATATGTAATATACTAACAGGTGATTTCTTACTGTTATGTTTTTTTTGTTTGTTTGTTTGTTTGTTTTGTTTTGTTTTGTTTTGTTTTGTTTTGTTTTGTAGTTCTGTATTACGTGTACCCTTACACTGCTTTGGTTTGTTTTGTGTTTTTCTCTTTTTCCTCTTAAATAAAAAAAAAAGAAAGAAAGAAAGAAAAATGAGTCTGCCACAGCCAGTTTTCTGCTAGGAAACTAAAATATTTGCACATATAAATAGCTGTGTGTACAAAATTAAATAACATCTAGATTTAATGTAAAAAACAGTTAAGAAGTACTTTATATTTACTTCAAGGTAATAAAACAGAGGTGACTTTCTACATTCCTATGGTAGAAAAATGTTCCCAGCTAACAGCAGATATTTGAAACAGACAAGTTGCTATTTTTAATTAACTTTTAACAGTTAGGAACCTTAAATAAATAGACAAAAGTATTTGGAGATTGGAATTACATCTAAGGAAACATAAAAATTTTCTATCTAAAATACACAAAAGCTTTTAAGAAATTAACAAATACAAAGCAAATAAATAGCAAAGTGGACAGAATATGTAACCAAGAAATGAAAGAAAAAGTATATCTGCCTGACCAATGAACGTATGATGCTGCCATTAACCTGTTAGGAGAAAATTACAAAATAAAATAGAAATATGACAAAGCTTTAAAGATGACTGGTAAAATTAAAAGAGTATTTTTATCCTTTTGAATTTTATAATTTTTGGAACACAATTTAGCAACCTCTATTGAAAATGTAAAAATAATTCTTCACAATTACATTCTTTGTAATCTATTGCATGTAATCTATTACATATAAATTAAAACCTTACTACACAAGAACAACATACTTTGCATGTTATCTTAATAGCAGTTCTAAAGTTTACAATTTTTTTTTAATTTTTTTTAAATTTTATTTAAGGAGGAAAGAAAAAAAAGCAGAGAAAGGGTACAAGTTATACAGATTTGCAGAAAAAAAATGAACAGTAGGAAATTACTAGTTAATGGATTACATATTGTCATCTTAGAAATAATTGTTCAAGTCACAAAATTAAAGCTTGTAAAGTGGACATTCCATCAATGATACTGCAAACAGTTCTGTTCAATGATCCAATAAAACTCTGTGATATCATTTTCTATCTTATACACTTAAATATTCATGCAGTTATATAGTACAGAGCACTTTCTTTTCCTCTCTTTTGTACAATGACTATTACACATTTTGGGTTTCATTGCTCCCATGGTTCTTATTACTTTTTTGGAAGAGAGTAAAACCAAATGTGACATAACAGAACAGAATCGGTCAAGTCAAAAGGGTGGACATAATAGATAATGTGAAAACATAATACAAGGTGATCAACAATGGTTACCATAATGCCTCCCGCTATCTCTAATAGAATTGCCTATATTGTTAGTTACAATACAATTGAACAAAACTGTAAAGAATAAAACCGACAAAACCAAAACATTGGAGACATTGTAGGTCTATAAAATAGATAAAAGTCAATGAGAATGGGCGTTATAATGAATCTCATTATCTTCACAGCTGATGCCTAAATTTTCGAACCTGATACTATCCAGCAAAACAGAATGGGGGAACATCAGTTAAAAACCAGATGGTGAGAGTAATACAGGGCTTTAAATCGAGGTAATGGAAAGTCAAAGTGGGTTACTATAATATATCCTGCTATTTTTTTCCTTTAATTAAAAGGATAAAAATAAAAAAGTAAATAATGGAGTGGAGACTGAGATAAAAGAGGGCATAACAACGAAACAGCACAGATCAAAACATAACCATTTAAGCAGAATAGTGTTTCACCACCAGATAATCCTGACATAAAAGTAGTTACCATATTATCTCTTTCCTTGAAATCCTTGAGTACAACTTCGTATACTGTAGCATTAAGTATATCAAAACAATGTAAAACCATTCAAGAGAATGACAGCATTACAGAGTATTTAGAATTGACTAACAGAAAATGAACAATGGTTTCTGTATAATCTCCTTGTCTTTAAAAGGTTTTTGCTTATACTATCATACATAATAAAATCCAGTAAGATACAACCTATTTGGACCATTGGAGACAGAAGGACAAAAGCTAGATGAGACTTCAAAACAAGATGATACTAAATCAGTATTACCTATTAAGATGTCATTTTCTCCAAAATAGCTGTTCCTATCATCCAATCTTCTCTGCCTCATTTCTGTTGAGCTCTTATTCTGTCAGTAGCTGTCAGTTTGTCTTCTTCACTTTGTTCTCTGCTCCATTCGTTGTGGCCTCCATTATTTCTGGATTCTTTGTATTTTTCTTTTTTTAGAATATCCTGCAATACTCTCTGTAGAGTTGAATTGGTGGTTGCAAATTCCCCCAGTTCCTCTTTATCCTGGAAGCACCTTGTTTTTCCATCAATTTCCAGGGACAGTTGTGCAGGATATCTCAATCTTGGCTGGAGATTATTATCTTTCAAAGCTTGAATTATTTCCCCCCAAGCTCTTCGTGATTTGATGGTTTGTGCAGAGAAATCTGCTGTAATTCTGATGGGTGCTCCCTTGTAAGTGGTCTGCTTCTTGTCTCTGACAGCTTTTAATATTCTGTTCTTGTATTGAATTTCTGGAATTTTTATTATTATATGCCTGGGTGTTGCTCTGTTTGG